ATGTTTCCATGGTTTCCTATCTTGGGAAACTTACGGGAAACCACAGGTTGATTGTTTCCATGTCGGGAATCTATGTGGAAACCACCGGGGTATGTTTCCATGGTTTCCTATCTTGGGAAACTTACGGGAAATCACAGGTTGATTGTTTCCACGTCGGGAATCTATGTGGAAACCACTATGTGGTTTCCATAAAATGGAAACTATATGGAAACTACTGATGTCACGATTCCCATATGTTTCCATCGGGTTTCCAAATTTGGGAAACCTGGCTTTTCATCCTGTGGATCAATATTTTGTTATACATTACTGAAGCAAAAGTATTCATCTTAACAATTTGTAACAATATATGGTAAGATTTTGATCATATGTTACGTAATTAGGGGTCAGAAGGGGACAGAATTTCAAATCTTTGACGCTTTATATCTCAAAAAGGGGGAATATTTTAATAAGCAATATTGAACAAAAGATGATCAGAATGATGTTCTAAACAATATGCATACTTTAAATTTTTGTAAAACGACCCCATAAAGGACTTGGAGGGGTGGCCCCTAAATATTTCCATTTAGCATATCTCCATAACAAATAGAAATCTCTGAATAAGTGCTGAACAAAAAATCTTCAAAATCACAAGACCTTTCATTTAATATCCAGTAAATGGGGCTGATTCCTCAAATTAGGGGCTCAGAGGGGCCAAAGTTTTTTATCTATAACTCTTTAATGATCAATATTTTGTTATGCATTACTGAAGCAAAAGTATTCATCTTAACAATTTGCAACAATATATGATAAAATTTTGATCATATGTTACATAATTAGGGGTCACACGGGGCTAGAATATCAAATCCCTGACGCTTTATATCTCAAAAAGGGGAATATTTTAATAAGCAATATTGAACAAAAGATGGTTCATAATAATGTTCTAAACAATATGCATACTTTGAATTTTTGTAAAACGGCCCCATTAAGGACTTGTGGGGGTGGCCCCTAAATATTTATATGAAGCATATCTCCATAAGGGAAAAGAAATTTCTGAATAAGTGTTGAACAAAAAGTCTTTGAAATCACAAGACCTTTCATTTGATATAAAAAAAAGGGGCTGACTCCTTCAATTAGGGGCTTAAAGGGGCCAAAAGTCTTGCATCTATACATCTTTAATGATCAATATTTTGTGATACATTACAGAAGCAAAGATATTCATCTTTACGATTTGCAACAATATATGATAAAATTTTGGTAATATCTTACGTAATAAGGGGTCGCAAGGGGACAAAATGCTATATTTTTTATGCTTTACGACTTGAAAAAGGGGGGATATTTTTATAAGCCATATTGAACAAAAGATGTTCAGAAAATCGTGATAAAAGTCAGAAACTTTAAATTTAATGAAGGAAAACTTAATGTTATTCTTTTTTAACGAATATCTCAGTAAAAATCACAACTCATCTTATCGAGAAATTCAACGGAAGACCTACTTGTTGCTCGCAACGAGATCTCATTTAGTTTATTATATAATTCTTGTAATCAATGATAAGTTAATAAATGATCCTCGTAATCACTGGTTAATTTCAGGATTTAGTTTGTTGCTTTTTTAAAATCTATTTTGAATGGAGAATTAACTGATATATCGCCTCATTCCTGTATATAGTATAAATTTAAACTACTATATAGTATAAATTTAAACTACATAGACATTTTCCCATTGATAGGATCCAGCACCTCAAGGCTGTCAGCAAGAAGCATGACAACGAAGAGCAGTGAAGGCTCCTTAAATGGCACTGGTAAGTTATATAATCCTTGTTATTACTGATATATTATTATATAATCCGTGTAATCACTGGTTATTTATTATATAATCCTTGTTATTACTGATACATTATTATATAATCCGTGTAATCACTGGTTATTTATTATATAATCCTTGTTATTACTGATACATTATTATATAATCCGTGTAATCACTGGTTATTTATTATATAATCCATGTAATCACTGGTTATTTATCATATAATCCATGTAATCACTGGTTATTTATCATATAATCCATGTAATCACTGGTTATTTATTATATAATCCTTATAATCACTGGTTATTTATTATATAATCCTTATAATCACTGGTTATTTATTATACAATCCTTGTAATCACTGGTTATTTATCATATAATCCTTTTAATCACTGGTTATTTATCATATAATCCTTATAATCACTGGTTATTTATTATATAATCCTTATAATCACTGGTTATTTATTAATAAGTATTATTTAGAGAACTCGACAGGTTCTGTATCGTAGATACAAATTTGGGGGCAGACGAGTGCGAAAGCACGAGTCTCCGCCCCCAAATTTGTATCTACGATACAGAACCTGTCGAGTTCTCTAAATGATTTGTGACACGATCAATCAAAAATAGCTCCGCCCACTTTATAACTTTGCAAACTTTCGCCAGAGTTCTGTAGATGAGGCCCCGACGGGGAGTACGCATCCGCAGTATTTATATTTCCACGGAAAACGTAAAATTCGGTCAGATTTGTTTTGACAATTTAACGGGGTAGACGTAATCGAGTGATAGTCAGTCTTAATGGATAAATTGGAGGATTTAACCGTAATTGTTGGGATCTATTGTTATAATTGTAGATGGAGATTTATCATAATTTATTTCAGGGGTCTTAAAATCCCGGTTTAACTAGATTTACAAAAACAGGATTTACAGAAAATTCTTCGATGGACTTTGATGTCACGGATTTTTATTTTCAAATTGAATTGCGACATTAAAACGCAGTGAAAGAGACGTGTGGCTATCGTCAGCGAGAAGGATTTTTTCCGTGATAGCGAATTTTCCGTTTCGTGTGGATTGTTCAAAATTAGGTACAGAGGATGTTTTCCGTTATTGCGATTTTTCTTTTTACTTTCGATCGAAATTACGTGTAGATTCTGTGTGGAATAAGTTTTTTAAAAGTGATTCAGAAATTTTGACATTCTACATTCTCAGGAAAATACCGGGTATTTCTTAAAAATTAATAATAGGAAAACATCAGTATTTATTATGTGTACGTGCTAGCTTTGCTAAATTGAATCAGATTTATTTTTAGACCGTGCTGTATTTTAGATACAGAATAGTTGGCAAATGCAATACTGTAAACAAGGCTAATGCAGAACGGAAAGTAGCTCCGCCCACCACAGTCCCGTTCTGTATTGCTAATACAGAACAGTAAACTTCAAAGAAACACACCGCTATCGTGTCACAATCTATGTAATCACTGGTTATTTATTATATAATCCATGTAATCACTGGTTATTTATCATATAATCCATGTAATCACTGGTTGTTTATCATATAATCCTTATAATCACTGGTTATTTATATATTTCAGGATTTTTTATAAATCATTGTAGCAATGTATCTCTATTCAGCTTTAGACAACTAAAACAGATTTAATGATACATTCTTTGGAATCGGGTTACATTATAATTGTTTTATACTTATTAAAATGCAAAATTTGTTCATTGTACTAGTAAAGATAATGTGTTTCATTAATTTCAGGATTTATGCTGTTGCTTCTATAACACTAATCTAGAAAGATAATAAAGTGGCATATTATCGCAATTCTGCTCACTATAGATTTTAACTACACAAACATTTTCACATTTACAGCATCAAGAATCTGCAGCCAGTCTCCAAGGAGCAGCATTAGTGAAGGTAGCCTTGCACCATAAATGGTACTAGTAAGTTATTCTATAATCCTTTTCAATCCGAGCACAAAATATGCATAATGAAACTACAGTAAAACTTTTCTAAATTAGATGTTGTGTATTTTGAAATGTTGCCTAATATGAATATAAAAACTAACAGCCCCTTTCAGTTTTCAGGATCTCATTTGCAAATTATTTTGACATATATCATAGTATGAATATTGATACCAAATTTAAAAGTAATTAAAAGAGTATGTACTGTATAATTATTTAGAATATATGTTTATTCATTGAATTTCACGACACAACCTAACTGTTCCTTACATTAAGGGACAAGGGCTTTTCGTTGCTTTTCATGTTGTAAATCTCCATTAAATTTCCTCACCCCCAGTACTGCGTAGGATAGGAGCCCCGACCACCATTATACTTTTTTAATGCACCCTACTATTACTGAGAATGTTTATGTCAACACAAATATTTTGTTTTACTTAATAAGGGCGAGGACCTCACTGGAGCTCAATGAGGAGGATCCATTAGAGGTCCCTGTAAACAAGAGAGACGGGGTCAATAGTCCACAAAGTGTCAGCGATTACTTAAAAGTAGGTCATCGGTATTTTACAAAATAATCTTTATATCGTTTTTCTTTAATTCTGTAACTTTACCATAAATTTAAATTGTTTTTAAAGATAATTATTGTCATGAAATGTGGCCTTCAATCTCATTATTATATAAATATATAGTTATTATAGTGTATGAAATGTTTTACATGTTTATTTATGTTTGCATAATATAATATTTCCTTCTCTTTTCAATCGTTTTGCTATAGTGCACCTTTTGTCTTTACATGAATATTCCTATGAAATTTTTTTGCACATCAATAACAGTCACAGGATTTTTTGTCCCCCGCTTTCGCAAATGCGAGAGAACATTAAATCTCATTCGTCTGTCCATCAGTCTGTCAGTCTGTCCGTCTGTCAGTCCATCAGTCCATCACAAAAACTTTAACCTTGCCCATAACGTTTGATTAAGTGGAGCTATGACTTTTATATTTCACATGTGTATTTCTTGTGACAAGACCTTTCTTTGGATACCACCAAATTTGAACTTTTGACCTTGACCTTGGAGTTTGACCCACTTTTACACAAAAAATTCTTAACTTTTACTTTGGCCATAACTTTTGAATGGTATGTTCTACGGTAGGACTTTCATATTTCACATACATTTTCTTTGTAGCAAGGTCTTTCATTGGATACCAACAACTTTGACCTTTTGACCTTTACCTTGAAAATTTCCGTACTTGTGAAAAAACTTAAAACCTTGACCATAACTTTTGAATGGTAAGGGCTAAGGCTTTCATTTTTCACATATGTAATCCATGTGAAAAGACCTTTCATTGGATACCAAAAACTTTGACCCTTTGACCTTGACCTTGGAGTTTTAACTACTTTTTAAAAAACTTTAGCCTTGGCCACAACTTTTGAATGATAGATACTAGAACCATCATATTTCACATATGTATTTTTTTGGCAAGAAAGCGGGGGACCACAATTTTTTGAATTTACTTATTTTCTTTCATTCCAATCATTTTCGTCCATTCTATCAAAACAGGCCAAATCCTCCAATAGCATTGAAGACGAGGTAGAAGTAGAAGTCACTCCTATGTCCCAGGAGTTGGCGCAAGACTTCAATTGTCACGCGGGCTCTCCGTGCATGCTGCTTGAGCAGAGTCCTAAGGTTGAGCAGTATAGAACTTCCAAATGTAAGCCTAGTTTATATTTATTTGGAAAGTTAGACATTGGATCTTTATTTGAAATTTGCATAGAAAATTATGATTGATACTCACCAAGGGAAGAAAACTCCCCATCCCTAACATTAACATTTTAAACTTCTATAGAAATACAGGGCAACTTTCCTATTAAATTCTTATCACTTTAAGCATCCTTTTGTGGTCAGTTTTAGAAATATAAAAATTAATTTGGAAACGCCTTTCAGTTAAAGAGGAGGCATCTGGACCAGAAAACATTAATTAAAGCTTTTGTTGTCTGTACATCCTTTGGAGGAAGTTTAATTTTAAAAATATGAAAATTAATTTGAACACAGCTCTCATTTAAAAGGCTGTCCAAGGATCATTTTAAAAAAGAACTTCCTCTGAACCAGAGAACATTATTTACAGCTATTCTTATCTGTAAATTTGTAGGTGAAGCAACAGAACAGAGGTAGGATTCAAGAAGTGGAAACAAGAGGTACGTGCATGTTTATATGCTAACTCTTGGGAAGGGGGGGGTAAATTTTTTTCATTTTTTTCTGTTAAATGCATGAAACCTTTATCAGAAGGTTGAGGTAGAGGGGAACGTTTAATGGACTGTAACAGGAGAAATATATACACAATGAATCAGACAAAGATTCGAAGCCGTGCCCCCTGAATGTCCAGTCATGTCTACTGACTGAGCTTTCTGGCTTCAATTGGGCCACATCCATCTGCCTGCCAAAGCCCTTCCCCCTTATGGTTTTCAGACCTCATAGACATCAACCCTGGGGTCTTTCCTGACTATTCCAAGGCCTGCTCACAGTACCAAATATGACGGGAGGGGAATAAAATGTAATAAACCAGACTGGGGATTTAAGGCAGTCTTAATTTCCAGTCATTTGCTTTACCCTCTCAGCAATCTGGTGTCTGGCAACCGAACCTGCCTCATCGCCATAAGTTGAAATTTCAGTAACTCATATTTAATTACTTTTAAAATTTAAAATTACATAAAAAAGGGGCTGTTTTAAACGGCCAGTTTAATTTTTAGCTCACCTGAGCCGAAGGCTCAAGTGAGCTTTTCTGATCACATTTTGTCCGTCGTCCGTCCGTCCGTCTGTCTAGCTGTCTGTCTGTCCGTCTGTAAACTTTTCACATTTTCGACTTCTTCTCAAGAACCACTGGGCCAATTTTGACCAAACTTGGTACAAAGCATCCTTGGGTAAAGGGGAATTTAAATTGTTAAAATAAAGGGCCAAGTCCCCTCACAAGGGGAGATAATCAAGAAAAGACAAAAATAGGTTGGGGTCATTAAAAAATCTTCTTCTCAAGAACCACTGGGTCAGAAAAGCTGAAACTTACATGGAAGCATCCTGGTATAGTGTAGATTCTAAATTGTTCAAATCATGAACCCCGGGGGAAGGGCGGGGCCACAATGGGGAATCAAAGTTTTACATAGAAATATATAGGAAAAATCTTTGAAAATCTTCTTCTCAAGAACCACTGGGCCAGAAAAGCTGAAACTTTTGTGGAAGCATCCTGGGGTAGTGTACATTCTAAATTGTTCAAATCATGACCCCCTAGGGAAGGGCGGGGCCACTATGGGGAATCAAAGTTTTACATAGAAATATATAGGAAAAATCTTTGAAAATCTTCTTCTCAAGAACCACTGGGCCAGAAAAGCTCCTGTATGAATTTTAAAGGCGGATTCCGCCTGGAAATTGGGTGGAATTGAGCAGGAATTGGCAAATTCCGGGCGTACTTGAGGTGGAGACGGAATTTTCAAAGAGTTACGCCTCAGTAGAAGAGACGTCTTACAGGCGTCATTTGTAATTTCCGGGTGTCAATTGGCAAATTCAGATTTTCCGGGCGTAAAATGGCAGGAAAATAGGAACAAAAATTACGCCTGGAACTTTCAGGAGATGTAAAAGCCTCTGATTGGTCAATTTAATTATCAATTAAGGGTCATTTCAGATAGGAGGTTAAGTTTGAATTTGATAATGAAGGAGGGAGTTTAGTGTGAGTGAAACAGGAAATGCAGATATCTCAATGTTAAGGCTTTTACACTTCTTGAGGATGACACAGTGTCTGCTGGTAGGTCACAGTGATCATGAATATCTATTTGAGTAAATATGTACAATGATAGTTATAACTTGTTGACCCTAAAATTACTTTAGATATTTGAGTTTGTCCTTGCACACATTCTGAGAAATATCAGTCTGATATTATAGAGGCTGCAGTGAGAATCTAACTGTAAACTGCTGAGTAAGTGAAGAATTGTATTCAGTCAGTAACTAAAATGTTTCAATATAATTATTGAAGTGATAAAATGTACAGGTATTGTAAAAGGGTTTGTTTAATTCTAAATACACACTCAATCAGGTGGTCGTGTTTTAGTGTCCCTAATACACAAAATTCATATGTTATTTTTCTATACTTGTTAATGATATATGTTAATGACCTGTCATTATGTTTTCTTACAGTTCAAAAAGCTAAATTTTTAGCTTTAACATTGTAAATCATAATCTGAATGTTTTTCTTTGTTAACATGGTAAATATATAGGTTTTTAGGTCACATAGTATTATAAAATAATAAGGACATTCCAGGGTAACTCTATTCCAGGCGTCATTTTAGTTTCCAGGCGTAATTTTTTTTTACGGGCGTCATTTATTTTTCCGGGCGTATCTCATTTGCATTTTTCGCCTCAAATTCCTGCCCATTTACGCTTGGTTTCCGCCTAAGATACGCCCGGAACCTGTGTATCACCATATATGTAGAGAGACAAATTGACGCCTCTGCAAGTACGCCTCAATTCCCCCTATATTCCAGGCGGAACATTTCGTACAGGCTGAGTGAAACTTATGTGGAAGCATCCTGGGGTAGTGTACATTCTAAATTGTTCAAATCATGACCAGAAAAGCTAAAACTTATGTACACATGGAAGGATCCTGGGGTAGTGTAGATTTCTAAATGTCTAAATTATGATCAGTGGGGTAGGGTGGGGATGCATTATGTATTACAAGGAGGAAATCTGGTAAAGAACAGAATGGTCAAAAAGCTTCTCAGGTGAGCGGTGTGGCCCATGGGCCTCTTGTTTTGTATGTTTTCTATCATTACACATTATTTGACTAAAACTATACTGAAATAAGCAAGCTAAAACTGCTTCATGTTCCTGAGGTTTCAGAAGAGTATGCAACAAATTGACGAGGCCGAGTCTAATTCGAGTACACATGGCTTTGTGCAGCTTTTTAATTTCATGCAGTCATTTGTGCGACTGTACACCTTTGCCAAATATTTTGATTTAAATACAAAATGAACATACAGGTCTGAAAAGGTGATTTTATGAAATTAATTAGGGAAAATGCTAAAATGGCTCTAACGACATCAAAATTTCTGATATTGTTAGCAATGCATGACGCTGAAGAATGACGCGTGATTCGCTTGTATGTTCAAGACGTCTATGGAAAATATACTAAAAACTGATGACAGAACATCCAACGAAACAATTACTAGCAATCAAAACATTGCTATTTGTTTTGACAGAAAAAATCATATGCGCCGATATTTCATCTGCACTGACATGTATCTCTACCGCCATATGGCAATTTTAGATGTATTGGGCTTCGAAAAAAAAAACTTAGTAATTAATTCCTCGACCAATCTAGATGGTCCATTTTTCACAATTTGGTGACTTTTTATTATAACTTTCATCTTTTTGAATGAAAAAGAAATCTCAAGGTCAGAAATACAAAAAATAAGGGAAATAAATTTGATAATATGGTGCTTTTCCAAGAAATTCCCATAGGGTCCAATATTAAAATTTTTTAGATGGCCCCTTTCGAAATCGGGACGGTAAACGTTCGAATTTTTAATCTTAAAACAATAAATGTAACAGTAAAAATTAATTATCAAAAAAATTATCAAAATGCTTAAGGCAGACATAATTAGACTTGACCTCGTTAAATTAATAAAAAACGAAATTATACAACATGTAAGTTTTGAATAAAACGGATTTGTTTCAATGAAAATAGTTTGAATATTTTGAAAATATTATCCTATTTGTGAACAAGAAAGAAATTTTCCTGTGGAAAATGTTCACATTTTGAAAAAAAACAAGTTTTAGTTATTCAATTTATATACAATTGTATAACTAAAGTACTTGTAAACAAAAAAAAATTGCAAGAATGTGATTAAAAATCCTATTTACAAGGTAGCATTCCTACTTGAAGACTGCCAAATACATGTGCAGGGTAAACCAAAGCTCTTTTTTTTCATTTGATATCGTCCTTTAAATATATATTGTTTATTTTTATCCATAAACTTGCTTTTTCTCGACACATTTGGATGAGGTGTGTATATGTTCTTTTACAATATCACATTGAACTACATGTTTGCATAAAATGAAATTTTCTAAATTTTTTTTCAAACACAGGCTTTTCAGTTATAATAATATGATTTTGTATGTTTGTTTCATCTATTATGACTATTGTGTAAGAAAAATGCCAAGTTAATGAAAAGTTTTGTTTTTTTTTTAATTTTTAACATATTAGCACTGCTATTGCTGCAATAACGCAGCCCTCATTTTTATTGGAGGGGGGTTAAATTATTGCATATGTTAAATGATTTTTTATACCATAACTCCAACAATTCACAATGTGACATACTATAGATTCCTCTTTCATTCGAATCCAGTATGTGTTCTTAAAGTCATGTCACAAAATGGCCTGCAATTAGTACGTTGATCTTTGGAGAGGGCGTTCATAGGCTTGTCGTTCAATTTATCCATATCATTAATATGAATAACATATATTTTAAAACTAAAATTACATGTAAATTAATTGTAGACCCATAAATTCACATTTTTCACTTCATTAATTTCAGTTTTATATAATATATCACATATTAAAAATTAGATCAATTTATTGTAATTCTTGGAGGGTTCTTATAACAAAATAATCAATACCACCCTTATATTAGGGAATCTACAGTTGTACTTAGGTGTTTTTTATTTAATATTACTTACTTCATATTATCCTGTTCTTAAATAAAATGTTAAGATAATTGATAAATTTCTAGGGCCATGGCCTACTTAATTTGCTAGGCATGGCAGCATATCTAATTGCGTTAAGGGATTCCAACCCTCAGCCAGGAAGGAAAACTCTTTTATTAATTTATATTTTAATTCAAAAAGTCTTTAAAGAAGCTTGAAAATTACCCGGTAAATCTTTTCATGCAAAAATTTTCATTATATGCCTTTCAATGTGCTTCAAGGTTCTTTGCAAAGCTCCATAAATCATTTCTTATTTTATATCATGTTAATAAACATTGGTATCCAAAAATGCTTTTTCGGGATAAAAATTTACTTTCATTAGACCTTTCTAAGAAGTTCAAAGAACCTTGAAGCACATTGAGAGACATATAATGAAAATTGTTGCATGAAAAGATTTAATTTTCAAGCTTCATTTAAAGACTTTTTGAATTAAATCATAAATTAAAGAGTTGTCTTTCCTGGCTGAGGGTCGGAGTCCCTTAAGGTGGGGTGTTGATCAGGATAATCACTTGCATGCATTGATTAAATTCAAGTGCTATTTTTAGATATAATTTTGTGCATCACTTGCTTATATCAATTTTTTTAACGTAACTATTTAATTATAATTAATATTGTGTTTAAATCACAGCCAACATATTTATAATCTCAACATTTCATCAATTTCTGAATCCAAGTAACAAATATATAATATATTGTCATGAAGCCGTCAAATGAATGAATAAGATTACCGTGTTTGTCTTATTTATGTTGTCTTTTCAACCCTCTAAATGTTAAGGTCTCCTATTTTGTTTGCAGGTCACCCAAGAAGAAGGGTAGAAAAATTCCTGAGAACTCCACTATTTGGCAGCTTCAGTCCATGCTATTCTAAAGGCTGTTCCGATCTTAATGTACTGCACACCATGTTTTCTCTCCATGTTTTTTTCTCAATGTTTGAATGTTTTTTATTTTAATCTTTGATATTTTTATGATTTTTCTTTCTCTTTGGTGTTTTAATGGGTTTTTTTCTTCGGTGTTTATTTTTTTTTTTATCCAAATTCAATATTTTCTGTAAACGGTTAAATACTTTTATTGTAGATAAGTTTAAATGAATGTATGGTATTATTAAAATTATTGCAAGGAAAATGTGTTTTGGTTTTTTTTTTTTTTTTAATTAATTGTGATTGGTTTTGTGTCTTTCAATGTAGGAGGAGTTCAGTGGACCAAAACACTTTGAGTCCCCCCTCTTTCCGTTTGTCAGTGGATTTATAAAACTAGAAAAATGCCCATACGATATAAATTATCAGTCCAGGGTTCATTAGTAATGCAACATATGAAAATAAATATATGTACCTTGAATAGCTTTTTAAACTGAGTTTAAGAAAGCTCTAAGCACTAACATTTTAACTTGGATTGTATCGAGGTTTGCATATTAAAACCATTTAGTTAACATGCAGGATAATTAATGTTAACATGCAACAAACATGTATTTATGTCAACCTGAGACTTATTTATCTTAACATGCAACATCATTATATAAATATGTTATTTCTGTCAACATGCAAGATACATGTAACCAAGTTAGCACGCATTGCCAAGATGATTATGTCTGCATATAAGATGTGGACAGGTAACTTATTCTCTTGCATGTTGACAAAAATAAGTCACATTTTGACATAACTAAACTGAATTTTAACATAATTATCTTGCATGTTGACATAAATAAATTGCATATTAATAAGTTGCATGTTAACATGTAACAATCTTGCATTTTGCATGCCAATATAGTTATGCTCCTTCTGAAAATAATTACGCTGTATCTTAAAGCTTGCATTTATGATGTCAGAAACTTATGGTGGCATATTTCTGCCCCCTACATGCGAGATAAATTATGTTAACATGCAGCATGATTATGTAGACATGCAACATATTTATGTCAACATGCAAGTTAATTATGTTGACATGCAAGTTACCAATCTTATAAGAAAATATAATTTAGATATGGGTCAATTTACTTACTAACACCTGTATCTGACATTTTAGATGCAATATGCAAGATAATTATGTCAACATGCGACTTTTTTATATCAACATGCAAGATTATTATGTCAACATGCGACTTATTTATGTCAACATGCAAGATAATTATGTCAACATGCGACTTTTTTTATATCAACATGCAAGATAATTATGTCAACATGCGACTTATTTATGTCAACATGCAAGATAATTATGTTAACATGCATGATATGTAAGTTGATATGCAAGTAATTATCTTGCATGTTAACATAAGTAAGTTGCATGTGAACATAAGTATCCTGCATGTCCACATAATATCTCGTATGTTAACATAAGTATCTTGCATGTTGACATAAATAAGTTGCATGTCTACATAATTAATTCGCATGTTGACATAAATATCTTGCAAGTCAACATAATTATATCGCATCTTAACATAAATAAATCGCATCTTTTCATAATTATGTTGCATCTTGCATGTACGATGTCAGATACGGGCGTCAGCACGGGATTTTAGTCATATTTAAATCAAATTCCCTTAAAAGATTTGTAACTTGCATGTCAACATAATTATCTTGCATGTATACATAATTTTCTTGCATGTTGACATAATTTTCTTGCATGTTAACATAATTTATCTTGCATGTAGGGGGCAGAAATATGCCACCATAGAAACTAGCGTTTATGATGGTATATTTTTACCCCATATCTGAATGATAAATTACGTCAACCTGGAAGAAAATTGTGTCAGCATGCAAGATTTGCAAGAAAATTATGTCAACATGCAAAATAATTTTCTCTACCTGCAAGTTAATTACTACCAGTATGTTGGCATGCACATTTTTACAAGTATCTTTTAAGAGTATCTATGGTGGCATATTTCTGCCCCTTACATGCAAGATAAATTATGTTAACATGCCACATGATTATGTAGACATGCATAATATTTATGTCAACATGCAAGTTAATTATGTTGACATGCGAGTTACCAATTATATATTAAGAAAATATAATTTAAATATGGGTTAATAACGCCTGTATCTGACATGTTAGATGCAATATGCAATATAATTATGTAGACATGCAACATTTTTATGTCAATATGCAAGATAATTATGTCAATATGCGACATTTTTATGTCAACATGCGACTTATTTATGTCAACATGCAAGATAATTATGTCAACATGCGACTTATTGATGTTAACATGCGAGATAATTATGTCAACATGCAACTTATCTACATGTATGTCAACATGCAAGATAATTATGTTAACATGCTAGATATATTAGTTGATATGCAAATTAATATAGTGCATGTGAACATAAATATCCTGCATGTCTACATAATATATCGCATGTAAACATAAGTATCTCGCATGTTAACATAAGTATCTTCCATGTTGACATAAATAAGTTGCATGTGTGCATAATTAACCCGCATGTTGATATAAATATCTTGCATGTCAACATAATTATCTCGCATGTTAACATAAGTAAATCGCATCTTCTCATAAGAATGTTGCATCTTGCATCTACGATGTCAGATACGGGCGTCAGCACGGGATTTTACCCATATTTAAATGGGATTCCCTTAAAAGATTTGTAATTTGCATGTCAACATAATTTTCTTGCATGTTGTCATAATTTTCTTGTATGTTAACATAATTTATCTTGCATGTACGAGGCAGAAATATGCCACCATAGTATACGTTAGGCTAGGGTAGAGTTAGAATGAATTCATCGGCAGTAGTAGAATTTGTGTGTCAGGTGGAAATAGTTCTTATCAGATCGAGGCCCCAGATTCTCTATATATTAATAGGAACCCTTATAATGAGAATACTCGGTGACGGGTTACGTTGCCCAGTCACATTTAGTCTTTGGAACGTATAGCAACTCAGGGACGTAGCAACCGGGGGGGCCCCCATTTTTTTCCCGAACATAACCTTTACTATAGTAAATGTTCATTGATAGGATGGTTGGCCCCCCCACTTTATAACCAAAGTATAGTGATATCAAGGATTGTAGGGGAAAAATTGAAAGTGATAGTAAGTTGGCTTTGAAAAAGTTGGCCACTACCCCCCCCCCCCTCCACGAAATAGGATTTTCGAGTTTGGGCAACTTTTAATTTTCGTTTTTTCTATACCCCCCGCTTGAAAAGCGGGAGGGTATTAGTAATCGTTAATTCCGTCCGTCTTTACGTCTGTCCGTAAGTCCGTCCGTCCGTCTTTTACACTTTGGGGTACCCGTCTCTTATCCGCAACTCCTCTTATACCACTGAATGAAATTTGATGAAACTTTCACAGAATCTTTATTACATATTGCCATTGTGCACCTCCTATTTTTCTTTTTGATCCGACACATATTTTGGGTTTCCCGGCCACAGCAAAACATGGACTTTGTCATCAGTTATAATCATATGGGAGGCGGGGGGTATCATTTAGCGAGCTCATTGCTCACAGTACCTCTATTTTTTTTTTTTTTTGCTTGTCAACTTTTTCAGGTAAGTAAAAAAAAAATTTCTCTGGTTGGCCCCCCACTTTCAAAAACGATGCTACGTGCCTGCAACTGGTAAAACTGATATTTTGATTGTCTTCTAATCGTATAATTATGCAGACTCATTATACTCAGGAAAATAATCTATCGGCTCATCATTTTACTCAGAATTTAGGAAAATCATATATCCCCTAAAAAGAACCCTGGATAAGATAATTATGTTCTGATAATCACATTACAAAGTTATATCTAAAATATTAATAGGCTTCGGAATTGGGTAGGGGGCACAATGAAGGAATTGGACATTGGGGCATGGTTTATCCCCCTCCCCATTTTCAACAAGCACAGGTTGCAGTATATTCAAAGAAGGGTAAGTAGAAGGGTTCCTGGAAAAATGGAACTGAAAGAAGGTTGATCTTACCCCCAGTCCCTTTCCCCTTTCCACTGAAATAGAATTTTCGCATTTGGACTATATACTATTTTCTTCCCTTTTTTGTTGTTTTTTTTATTCAGGTTGAAATATTTTTTCTCTTTCAATAAGCCCCTCTTTCTTTTTGCTTCCGACACCAAGGATGATATTGTATCGATATTTTTTCTTCAATACAAAGCCATACTCTCTACTGGTACCATATATGGCTTTTACTTCATTTTTGAACATTTGCACTTCAGTAACGTAGGCCTATAGTGTCAGTGTATATTTCATCTTTGGTAGTGCTGGCTTTATCGTGAGGATTACTTCCCTTGGACTGCAGGCTGATCATGTGTTTTGGGAATGATTAGGTATGATGCTGTTTCATCGGGGAATAGACACATAGCAGGGAGGATGTTTGTCAGAAATATTTAGGAAATGTCCCATTCGATGAAATTTTAGTGTACCGCATTTTCAATGGGGGAAAGAAGGATATGGAGATAACGAACAGTATATTCAGTATAAGAGTCCATAAAACAATACAAAATAAGAGCAGAGCAAACACGGACCCCCGAAACATCAGAGGTGGGATCAGGTGCCATGGAGGAGTGAGCATCCCCTGCCGACCGGTCCCACCCGCCGTGTGCTCCTTGTCATGATCAGGAAATAACGGAAAAAATCCGTCGTCAATTCAGTGTATAAATAATGGACTAACAATTGGTATGAAAAACGTCAGTCAGCATTTGACTTAATGATAAATTGTATTTGCTGACAAGGTCATTGTATCGACCACAGAACTTACGAAATGATGACTTTAAACGAGACTGTTGATATTCTTGTTTCTTCAACTTGCTTGTCAATAATTTACCTCGTTTTAGAAATTGTTTAGAAATTGTTCATACCTAGAGCAATCCATGCTCTTGCGTATCGAATCAGCTGAGATATATATATACCCCGTATGCAGGTGATGAAGGTATATTGCTGCATAAGTAAGGGAAGTTGACGATAGAAAAGTTAAAGTCATCACGTTTATCATATAGCTTGGTTGTTAGATTACCATTGGTGTCTTTTTGATGTAAAATATCCAAGTATGAAACAGAAGTGTCGGACTCTGTGGTATCTTTTATCTCAAGCTCACCAGGATATATCGTATCGACGTAGGAATTGAAATAACCATTATTAACTTAATTGACAATACGTTGTCGATATTAACTG